TTTGTCCTTCTTGCTTAAGATTGTTTTGGCTATACAGGGTCTTCTGTGATTCCATATAAATCTTAGGATTTTTTTTTTCTATTTCTGTAATAAATACCATTAAGATATTGATAGGGATTGCATTGAGTCTTTAGATCACTTTGGGCAAGTAAGCATTGTAACAATGTTAATTATTCCAGTTGATGACATTGGAATGTCTTTTCATTTACCTGAGTCCTCTTTAATTTTCTTCATCAGAATGTTATAATTTCCAGTGTAAAAATGTTTCACTTCTTTAGTTAAGTTTATTCCTATTTTATTCTTTTTAATGCTATTGTAAATGGAATTGTTTTCTTAATTTCCTTTCCAGATTTTTCATTGTGTATAGAATACCATTGATATTTGTATGTTGATTTTGTAGCCTGCAAATGTACTGATTTCAAACATTCAAAGAATAACAATTGTCTTAAATTCTTGCAAAAAAACAGAAGAGAGGGAATGCTTCTAAACTCATTTTACGAGGTCATCACCCTAATACCAAGGCCAGACAAACCTACCACGAAAAAAGAAAAATATAGGCCAATATCCCTGATGAAAATACATGCAAAAATCCTAAGTAAATGCTAGCAAACCAAATTCAAGAGCACATTAAAGGGATTATACGCCATGATCAAGTGGGATTTATCTCTGGGATGAAAGGAAATTCAACGTATGAAAGTTAATCAATGTGACCCATTACATTAGCAAAATGAAGCTTAAAAACCATACACAATTTTCTCAATAGATGAAGAAAAAGTATTTGAGAAAATTCAGCATCAATTCATGATAAAGCCCCTCAGGGAAACAGATATAGCAATAATATACTTCAACACAATAAAAGCCATATATGAAAAGCCCACAGCTAACATAATAATCAATGGGAAAAAAACTTAAAACTTTTCCTTTAAGATCAGGAAAAAGGCAAGAATGCCCACTTTTGCCACATCTATTCAACATAGTACTGGATGTCTAGTCAGAGACTAGAGAAGAAAAATGTAATCAAAGGATACACATCAGAAAAGAAGAAGTAAAAATATTTTTATTTGCAGATGGTTTAGCCGTATGTGTAGAAAACCCTGAAGACTCAGCCAAAAAACTATCAGAACTGATTTCAGCACTTTCTCCCTGTGGCTCTAGCTCTGACTGTCATTGTTCAGATTTAAGTCAATTTCCCTCTCAAATCTGATCATCACTTTCCATAGCCACAATCAGACATTCATGAAGTCTTATTTAATGAGAAAAAAAATTGGTGACACTGACCTTGGGAAATTATCTTTATTTCCACTGTAGTTTGTAAAATCCTAAAATTTAACAGCTAGATTTTCACATTTATTACCTGACCTCTATTTTAATGTTGTCATCATCACCTCTCTTCTTAATTTTGTCATTCTCCCTACCAAAGCGAATGACTTTAAGGAGAAAGAAAATGAAGACCAACATTTATACCGTGTAAACATAAAAGAAAAAAGGCATAACTCTGTTAAAATGACAAGTTCATATTTTTATTCATCCTCCTAGTTACTTTCTAAAAACTTGAATTAAAAAATAGATTTAAAAATTTAATTTTTTGTGGGGAGTTCTTATAGGTTCTGAGAGTACTCCCAGTTTAGTGAAACTGAGTCAGTTTAATATTGGGAAGATAAAACCATTATATTTTTAAAAGATAAAGCTAAAAAAGGAAATTCAATGTCAAATGTGTACCTTCTCTTAAATGTGATGATGTTCTTTTGCATCATTTGGTATCAAGTTATAAGTTACAATTTAAAAATATTAAAATGCAGGTGAATAGAGATTTTTAACTTGTTTTTTAGTGTTAAGTGACACTTTTATTAACTTGGAGTGTCCAAAATACTTTCATCTTGAGATCCCTTCAAATTATTTCATTTCCCCATTTAATAAATATTTATGAAGAGCCTACTGCGAGCCAGGCACTATTTTAGCCACTGGAGTTCAGTTGGTGAACAAAATCAATAAAGCTCCTACCCTCATGAAACTTATTTCTGGTGGAGGAGACAAAACACAACGAAAAAAGCAAAGCATTTTTACATACCCTGGATGCTTATGTTCCCCCAAAATTAGTATGTTGAAATCCTCCACGCCAAGGTGATGGTAGGAGGAGGTAGGACCTTTGGGAGTGATTAGTTATCCAGCCCTCATGAATAGGATTAGTGTCCTTATAAAAGAGGCTGAAAGTGACCCTTCACTCCTTGTACAGTGTGGGGTTACAGCGAGAAGATGACTGTCAACGAGATAGTGAGCCCTCACAGACACCAACCTGCCAACCCCTTGATCTTAAACTTCCCAGCCTCTAGAATTGTGAGAAATAAATTTCTGTTGTTTTAAAGCCACCCAGTTTAGGATATTTTGTTACAGCAGCTGGAACAGACTAAGACACATATATAGCATCATGTCAGAGAGTGATAAATAACATAGGGTCAGGAGACAGAGCATGGTTCAAGTGGGAACGCTTTAGACAGGTGGTTAGAGAGTGCCTGTTGAAGAGGTGACTTCTGACCAGAGACCTGAATGAGGAGAGTGAGGAAGTCCTGTGAATATCTGAGGCAAGAACAAACTTCTCAATGTATTTTATGACCACTGGAGAATCCAGACCTAAAGAGCCAGGTTGTGAAATAATGAGCAGTAGAAAAGCAAACCTAACAGTTTTGTGAAGATAAAAATCAATTTCCTGCTATGGCATGACAAGTCATGGGACTCAAAAATCACATAGACACCAACATTCACTTAGATGGATCTGTGCCAGGGAAAGGTACGAATCCTTACCAAGCAAACTACGTACATGGACAAGAGCCAGTGCTACCCACAGGCAAGTTATTCCTAGGTCATAAACTGATTTAAGAAACACATTTTCTTTAGAGTTTTGACTGGGTTCTGGCCATCTGCAAAAATGAAAACCTATTGGGAGAAAATCTACATAGTTAAACATAGAACAATGAAAGGAAGTGTCAGCCTGTATCCCAGCCCTGAAATGGAATGAGCTCTGTTTCTGCACAGAAGGCAGTTGAGACAATGTCAGTTACTCCATTCCACTCATTTTGGTTTATTTTAAGGAAAATGCAATCTATGCAGTGTTTGGGAAATTATATACACCTTTGAAATTAGGATTTATTGCAATCAGGTAGCCTTTAATAATGCAAAATGTGTATTTAAAAATACATTTAGTAATTAAGAATCATACTCGATGCTTTTAGAACAGTAAAGTGGTTAGTAGTTCAATATACTTTCATCCAGATTACATTTCTTTCAGAAATAACATGTTCTTTTAATTTTTTATTTTTATGAACTTTGTTAACAATATTGAAAGGTAAAGACAACTGTTGAAATGTAAGCCCTTTTTGTCTGTTAAGTAATAGTAGGAGTTTTTATTTACTGGATTATTTGAAAATAAACTTTAGCAAGAATATTACAGAGGTGAATATATTTGCTCAGTGAATTCTCTAAATTTTCTATGACGTTTTATAATTATCTTAGATGATTTATATTTTAATTTCTAATACATTTATACTTAAATTCACAAAAAAATGAGACTGATCAGAAACAACCTCATTTTGGAAGAAGCAGGACTGCAAAAATTATTATAACTGTCTTTTTTGTTGTTGTTTTCTTAGAACTACTTGGGAATATATTACAGACTTCACAAAGAGGAATACTACTTTGCACTAAGTCATATTCTAATGACTATTAAGTTAGAATATGATTAGTGCAAGATATATACAAGAGTTCAGGCTAGAGATACTCAAAGATTGATGAAGCCAGATCGTGGAATGCAGTTTAGCGCCGTTATTAGGTGCAATTTGACACTGTTATTCACAATTTCCAGTGGCTCACAGTCCTCAGAGGATCCAGTCTAAACAAGCAAAGCTTGCAGAAAGACTCTTGAAATTTAAACTAACCTGTGTCTCTCAAAATGTTTCATGTAACTCTTTCCTATATCAGCTCTCAAACTTCTCTATGAAAAACAAATTCCTGAGATCATTGTACCCTTTGCCATAGCAGTTCACATTCTACATCCCTTGCTATAGCACTTAACAAACTTTGTAATGAAAAATTTTGCATTTATGGTTTCCCTCCTTGATTTTAAATATATTTCTTCAATGTAGAAACTGTTTTTTCATACTAAATACTAAGTAAAGAGTAACACAAATTGTATATAAATTACACTTAGATATTTAGGAAATGAATTAAAGAAATAACTTTCAAAATTTGTATACCAAATAGAGAAACAGACATGTCAACAATTTGGTGGCCTGGCGCAGTGGCGCATGCCTGTAATCCCAGCACTTTGGGAGCCCAAGGCAGGTGGATCACTTGAGGTCATGCCTAGTTCGTGACCAGCCTGGCCAACATGGTGAAACTCCATCTCTAGTAAAAATAAAAAAAAATTAGCGGGTTGTGGTGGTGGGCGCCTGTAATCCCAGCCGCTCCGGAGGCTGAGGCAGGAGAATCACTTGAACCCGGGAGGCGGAGGTTACAGTGAGCCGAGATCATGCCACTGCACTCCATCCAGCCTGGTCGACAGTGGCGAGACTAAGTCTCAAAAACAACAACAACAACAACAACAACAACAACAAAGAATTCAGTAAGTATCTGAGTTTTGAATAGTTCTTTCCCCAAATTTACTATATAAATCTAGCTTTCACGCATTGGAACGTGATCTATTTCTCAATTCTGTATACATTTAATTCAAGGTGCTGTAGCTGAGAGTTTGGAGTCTTCTTCTCTATGTCAGTATGGGATGAGAAAACACACACACACACACACACACACACACACACACACACACACCCCTGTTATCCTAAAAGCAGTTTTGGAGGTGGCTGAGAGGAGAGAACTTAGGAACTTAGCTGAGGAAATGATGAAAAGGACATTGTTTTGTGTCTCAGGAACCATGTGGAATTCCAAGATAAGAAAAACAGTTGCTAATTTCAGTATAAAAGCAGGAAACATGATACACTTATTTCCTTTTATGCCAACACAAGTATATGAGGGGTTGTGTAAAAATTATTTTTCTCTTGCTGTACTACAAAGACATAGAATCGAACTGCTTTTTTTGGATATACTGATTTTTCTTTCTCTTTTTCTTTTCTTTCTTCTATTTCTTGTGGATATTATGGCTAACAACACAACAAGTTTAGGGAGTCCATGGCCAGGAAACTTTTGGGGTAAGGTATTTCTTTTACTGTTTAAAATTTAAAATTAGGATGTGAGAAATGCACCGCGTGATTTATTAAAACATTGAAAATCTCTGAGACGTTTTGTTTACTATAAAGTGATTATTTAAAGTTTTCATATGTTTATTAACAGAAATTTA